TTGGAGACTTTGGGTATTACATTAGTCTTTTCTTTAGCAGGGGGTTAGCTTGCTTATCTCACAGGTCTGAATAAACTGCTGTTTGTGGGATCAATAAAATCATAGTTTTCAGAGCCATTGCAGTGTCCTTTGGTCTGCCTGGGAATTGAATCCAAAGCTTTGTACAGGCTAGCAAAGTGTCCTACTACTGAGCAACAGTCCCAGGTCTAAATGTCCTTTTTATTTACTGAGTGAAATAGAAAAACAAACACACTTGCTTCTTAGTTTCGTTTTGGGAAGTGAGTCATTAACAACTGGCACATGAGACTGCTACTCTTGGAAATGAAAGTGATGTGGGTGAATTTAAGGAGTTCAGAATAGAGCTCAGAGAGCACACCTCGTGCCTCACAGGTCTTTCCCTCACGTGTCAGAATGTCAGGCCTAGTTTTAAAAATTAGATTGCTCACAGGTGCTGTTTGCCATGAGGATTAATGTCACACTTACTTGAAAGTAGTAATGGATTCAGAAGTAGAGAGTATATGTATTCTGGAAGATGAGGCAGGATTGTGAGTTTGAGGCCAGCCTGTACAATATAACATAGCTAGTAACTGTCAGTACTTGAAAGGATTAAGTGTATGGCTAATGTCTTCCTGTCCTAGGTGTATAATTTAAAGTTGTTATTGGTCACCTAGAGCCAAATATCCTAATTTGTTTCATTAAATAATAAATTTTGTTTATTTCTGTATCTTTAAAGAAAGCTGATGATGTGTAATACCATGTTTTATGACTATCCTAGGGACTGCTATTAATTTTCCCAGTTGATAAAATTCATGCTATTCTTTTAAGTCTCCTAATTAAGAGTAGAGTGCACTCAGATTACTTACTGTTGCTGTGTTCAGCAGTTAGATGAAAGTATGACCCTGTTGAACAGCTAGCAACAGTTTCAGACAAAGACCCACCTCTTACTGGTTTCCTCTAAGGTAGGTGCAGAGCTTTTAAGTAAGCTCCTTTTGTACTTCGCACTGTGACCCTCTCCCTGCCCAAGCCATTCTTTCTAGCACAGAGTTCTTGTCAGTAAGCGTGTCTTCAGGGATGCAACAGAAATGTTTTCTGAATGGTCTGGAATTTAAGATTGTGTTAAAAGTTGAGAGACGTGAAGAATGGAGTGGGTAAGCTCGTCAGAGCCTGTTGGGTTTTTCTGAATGGTCTGTCACTTTATTCAAAGAGGTTCTTGTACAGAATGTATAGGTAGCAGCTTTGAGATCACATTATAAGCTAGAACTAGAGGGAACATAACCAGGAAAGGTCACCTGCTCTGGGACAAACTCTGGCACTGTCACGCAAGCAAAAAGATAAGTTTCATCTACATGTTCAGTGTTTACTGGATGTCATACATGTGCTAAAGACTGGAAGAGGTGAGCAGAAATGGAGCAGTTTGGCTCTGTGGTTGGAAAAAAAATGCAGATAATGAATGGAGTTTCCCAAAATAACATTGTTGAGATTACTGCATGAAGGGGTCTGGAATGCTCAGCGAGAAGGAAAACATCATCCAGTTAGGCAGTCTGACTAGTTCATTTCTTTCCACTGCTGGCTTCCTTTTTGTCCTATTATAAAAGCCAGGTATGTAAAATTGCATAGTGAGCTTCATCCCTGAATTCCACCACACTAGCAGATAGGAGCCAGTGAACTCCATATTCAGCCAAAAGATACATTATTGATTCACTTTCTTTTAAGCTTTTATGTTTTAGGACAATTTTAGATAGACTTGCAAAGATAGAATACCCATCTACCGTCTGGGAAACAGGAAAGAACCTGAGAGAGATATGCATGGTACCCCAGAGAAGAGGAATGAGGCAAGATCTTCTGAACAGATTAGGAACACGGCAAGGGGTCGGGGGTGGGGTGGGAGTGGGAGCTGGGAAGAAGAGAGGGGGAGAAGAAGAAGAGAGAGTAGGTCATGGGAGAACAGGAAGGTTGAGTGCGGGATAGAATAGGGGGGAGCGGGAATCATAGGTTAGAAGACAGATCAGGCACCATTGTGACCTCTAGTGATCTAAAGGGATGACACCAACTGGCAAGCTAAGCAATAGTAGAGAGACCACCTCGAATGCCCATTCCTGATAATGAACTTGATGTCTATAACCATCCTGGAGCCTTCATCCAGTGACTGATGGAAGCAGAGGCAAACACCCACAGTTAAATACTGAACTGAACCCATGGAACCCAGTGACAGAGAGAGAGGAGTGAAGAGCAAATTGGCAAAGAATGGGCTGGCAAAACCAGCAGAGACAGCTGATCTGAACAGGGAAGAGCTCTTGGACCCCAGACCGACAGCAGGGAGGCCAGCATGGGACTGATCCATACCCCCTGAATGTGAGAGTCAGTGAGGAAGCCTGGGCAACCTATGGGGCCCTGGGCAGTGGATCAGTGTTTATCCCTGGCATACAAACGGATTTCGTGTGCCTATAACACAAAGAGGGATGCTCTCTCAGCCTGGACTCTGAGGGGAGTGCCTGGACCCTGCCCTGAGCCAAATGACAGACTCTAGATATCCCCTTTGTGGAAGGAAGTGGCAATAGGGTAGGAGGCTGGAGGGGGGTGATGGGAGGGTGCCGGAGGAGGGGAGGGAGAGGCAACTGGGATTGACATGTGAAGCAAGCTATTTAAAATTAAAATAATTTAAAAAAGACAAAGAATACCCATCTACCCTACCCCTAGATTCCCGTTACTAACATTTTGCATTAGTGTTTTGCTTTTTAAAACAATTAGCAAACCAGTATCAAATCATTCTTACTAATGATATTCCATATTTTACTCAGATTTCTTTATTTCTAGTGCACTGCTTCCATTATGTTCTGGAATCCATTTAGGACTCCTTAGGCTTTCCTTGTCTGTTTTTGATGACCTTGGCAGTTTTGAAAATCACTGACTAATCAGATATTTTGTAGGTAACATCCCTTGGGATCTATCTAGGATTTTTCTTACGATTTAGACTGAAATAGTGTGTTTAGGGGAGGATTTTTCTTACATCAGATCAAGGGTCATATTATCAACACAGTTAGTGTCCATCTTGATCTAGCTGAGGTCTCTTCACCATAAAGTTACTCTCCCTTCCCAAACTGTATTCTTTAGAAGGAAGCCATATTGTGTTTAAACAGTAAGGGCAACACCGCTCCTCCTTTTCAGTCTTGTGTAGTGCAGGTTGGTCGTGAACTCACCATGTAACTGAGCTGGCCTTCGACTACTGACAGTCTGTCTCCACCTCCCCAGTGTGGAATCATACGTGTGTGCCACCATGTCTGTCTAGTAGAAGTTACCTTCTTGATAGCAGTTTCTATCTAAATTGTTTCTGTTTCTGCATGGAGGTTTGTCTTTTCTTCCCAAATTCAATAATTTGCTTATTTCAGTATGGACTCATACGTGTTCATTTTGTACTTTACGAAGAGTCATTTGGTTGCTCAGATTGTTCTAGCTTTGCTCATTGGGGAGCTCTTTCTGTTAACTTTCTTCTCTCATTAGTATGTTTTAAAATGCTTGGATTGTTTTCCTTTTAGTGCTGTCTGCTTTCTGATACTCTCTAAGGTCCTCTTGTCATTGTGTTTCTCTAGAGTAGAGTTTAGAGTAGACTTAGAACTCAGGCTCTGAGTGGTAGCTGTGGTCATTACTGCTGGAGTATCACTGACTGAGTAAGGAATTGTATGTCTGTATTCTAACATTTATATACACATCTGGCTTTATTGTTGTTGTTTTGAAGTTTGTTCATTTTTATCTTACATGTGAGTGTTTGACTACATGTTTGTCTGTGAACTATGTGCGTTCAGAGACCAGAAGAGGGCGTAGAACTGGAGTTACAGCTTCCACATTGGTGCTGGAAATCAAACCTTTGTTCTCTGGAAGAGCAGTCAGTGCTCTTAATGCTGATCTATTTCTTCAGCCCCCATACCTGCCTTTCTATATGTAGCAATCTGTATCTTCCAAACATGAGTTCGTGCTGAGATCACCAGATCTATTGTGTTTGCTACATAAATAATTCTAGCCTCTCCCACCCCTTGCTTCTGTGTAAACTCTTAGTCCAGCTACGAGGAACCATGTCTGTATTCAGTTCATTGGCATCCGAATTGCTAACTCTGTGAAAACAGCCTTTCTGGCTGCCATACAGTTCATGTTTAGTTTCTTTCGACTTTCGTCTTTTAGATTCTATTCATTTCCAGGTCCACTTGTCTCCCCCTACCCTGCATGCACACACCATCCTATTTCATGGAGGTTGATTCATACATTTGTAAATACAGTGTAGATGTTATGAATATAATACTGTAAGGAATCTCACACAGATTTACATGTGGACGCTTTCAGATGATTTGGGTACATGTTAAGCTCATCGTTGCCATATTGTACAAAACAGCTGCACTGGCTTTTACATATTTCGTCTTTGCCTTGTTTATTGTGCACTGTTTCTTGCAATGGATAAGGGTTTTTTTGTTTGTTTGTTTTGTTTTGCTATTTTTCCTATCCACTTACTCACCAAGTCCCCTCTAACTGCCCACCCCAAGGCATATTGTCATTGCAGTAGAGCAGATGGTACAGAATTCCATCCAGCTGATCAGTTTAGGTGAAATAAATGACTACATGCTTATGGTCTTCTGCAGCCAGTTGAGTCTGACGACTCTGCCTTTTCTTAAGCAGCAGGGCTAGATACTTTCAAGGCAGCTTGCACAGCTAGATTATTAAAACTGTCTTGCTACTAGTATTAATCACAATTACATGGTAAAACATTTAAAGTTGCTAAAGTTCTGAGGAGTTAATTGTATTTTCTTCATAACCATTGCTGTCAAACCAGCAGTTTGTTTGGATGCCACCATTGACCCTACGGCCCTTACACACACTAAGCAAATGCTCTACCATTGGCTACATTCCCTAGTAAGCAATATATTAAAATGTGCAATTGTATTTACTTTAAGGTAAACGTTTTGAAATTGGATTTCTGTACCTGTCAGTGATGTTTGTTTTTGTTTCCTTCACAGCATTCATTCAGTCAGAGAGCATAATAGAAGTACTGCGCTTTGACGATGGAGGGCTACTACAGGTAATTTTTTGGTTAAGTTTGGTAACTTTTTCTTTAAAAAAATGCAACTGGTACATTTTATGATCTCTAGACGGTCAATAGAGGCATTACATAAATCTCTTACTAGAACTGCCATTTAGAGTAAACATTTCTCTGAAAAGTGATTTCCTTGTAGTATGGAAGCTATAGGTAAGTAAACTATGACTAGTTTAGCCATTGAATGGAACACTGCATCCGTGTGGGACCTCAGCACTTACCCAGAAGAGAACGTCCACTGTTCAGAGTGAATGGTTTTTGTCTTTTGTCTGGATATTCCCCACTATATCTTTAACTATATTATGCATGGAATTAGAATGTGGAGCCTTCCTTCAAACCTAGCTCAGATACTATCTGAAAACCCATTCAGTCCTCTCAGCTGGAGGACAAGAACTGCAGAGCTGAAAAGGCGCCTTCATTAGCAGTCTGATTTGTTTTCTGTTTTGTTGAGAAGGCCCTCAAGCTTGAGATCCTCCTGCTTCAGCCTCCTGAGTGGTAGGATTACAGGCATATGTCACTATGTCCATTCCAACTCTCTGATTTTTTTTTGACATTTTCATACACGTAAACAATACATTCTTGTTACTCTCACCCCTACCATCTGTGTGCTTCCTTCTCAATACCACCCCTTCTCCTTATAGGTCCTTTTAAAAATATTCATGTGTTGTAAGACCCAGTGTGTTTAACCAGGGCCATATATGAGACTGTGGGTGTGGAAGTCTTCAGGGGAGCCGTATAGGGTTATACATTAGTGCTCTGGCGTTTATGGCTGCTTCCTCCCATTTCCTAAGATTTAACACACAAGATGTTTGTTATCACTTCCCTACCATAATGATGATAGGCACCACGTTGTCAGGTAGCATGCCTGGTAACATTTCACTCACTTTGTATTCAAGGGAAACCAAGATTTAAGTTAAGTGCTCATGATCCTTAATTTTGTGTTAACTTTGTAGACTGAGACTGACCTAGAACTCCTCCTGTCTTCTTACTCTCTGTTCAGTGTGAGCATCTGTCTGTATTGCATTATGGGTTTGTTTTCAGATAGGTCTCACTCACTGTAGAGCTCAGCCTGCACGTGCATTGTTACAGTGGCACATGTTACATTTTTACTTGTGTCTAACTAAATGACTTAAATCTTCAGAAACAGGACCGCACACTGTAGCCCGTGGTTGGCCTAGAACTTGCTTAAAGACTAGGCATGATGGTCAGATAGTAGTGGCGCATGCCTTTAATCCCTCACTTGGGAGGCAGAGGCAGGTAATCTCTCTGAGTTTGAAGCCAGCCTGGTTTACAGAGTGAGTTCCAGGACAGCTAAGACTGTTACACAGAGAAACCTTGTCTTCAAAAAGAAAAAAAAAAAAAAAGACTAAGCATGATGTGCTGATATTACAAGTGTGAACTATTATACCTGATTAATAATTCTGAAAAGGCATTCCTGTCGCTTACAATAAAAGCAAGAAAGTAAAAATTTAAATTAGGTCAAGACAATTTGGGGAAATAGGTCTACTAAAGTGGCATGTGTTGTTATCTCAGCCACAATAAAACCTTACCATGATTTGTGCTGAAAGCCTAATGTTGAATGCTGTGTACAGCAAGTTACACCTTCATGTTACCTTTGCATGACTTGGCTCATAGTAATTGTTAGTTTGGTAGTAAAATTTACCAAACTCAAAAACTGGTCAAAATCTTGCTTCCTTACTTTATAAAGCTAAGGAAGGCCAGGCATTGGTGGTGCACGCCTTCATTCCAGTACTTGGGAGGCAGAGGCAGGTGGATCTCTGTGAGTTCCAGACCAGCCTGATCTACAAGAGCTAGTGTCTCGAAAACAAAACAGACAAGCTAAGGAAAACAAAGTGCGAAAAAGGTAACTTGTTTAATATTCAGTTGCTAGAACAGGAACCCAGCCAGCCCACCTCCCCACCATACCTTTTCAGAATCTTTCCGTAGCACAAGACACGTGCAGTTTCTCAAGTGCATTCCTTGGAGTACCACTTACTGTAGTAGGACTAGAAATCATAATCCCCTTAGCCTGTGATTTCTGTAGTTGGCACTTTAGCCCTTGTCCCTCCCGTCTCTCCTGTTTAGCAAGGCTATTTGGATTTACTACACAGAGAACTTGAAGACCAAAGGATTCCTAAAATGGGCAGAAACCCAGAGGCATTTGCATCACAACAGGAAGTTTACATTAAGATTTAGCATGATAGGATGCAGTGGCTGCCATCTTATACAGCATTCCCTCCTAACTGATTAGAATGTCTCCTCACATCTCTGACAGATAAGATGAAGTAATAAAACATTGCCCATTTGTGATTATTAATCTCCTTTCCAACCTTATTCTCATGTAAGCAAATGAAGATAAAGCAAGGAAAAAGACACAGAAAGATGAATTAGCTCTGTATGTTTGTCACTACTCTATCAAATAATAAACAGAATTTTAAAATGTTAGAGTGTAAACCTGGTGTTGGTGATGCACACCTTTAATCCCAGCTCTTGAACTTTGAACTTTGAGTTCAAAGCCAGCCTGGTCCCCCAGAAACAGCTGACCTGACAAAGGTTAACTCTTGAATCCCAAGCATCAGCCTGGGAATCCAGCATGGGACTGATCAAGACCCCCTGAATGTGGGTGTCAGTGAGGAGGCCTAGGTAATCTATTGAGCCTTGGGCAGCAGATCAGTACCCATCCCGAGTATACACACGGACTTTGGACTCCCATAGAACAATGTGAGGTGCACTCTCACCCTGAACTCTTGGGGAAGGGTCTAGGCTCTGCCCTATATGAAATGACAGACTATGGACACCCCCATGGACGGCCTCACCCTCCCTGGGGAAGTGAGGGGATAATGGGGGGGGGGTTGGGGGGAGGGGAGAGGGACCTGGAACTGACTTGTGAAGCAACCTTGTTTCTTATCTAAATTTAAACTGAAAAATAAAAAACAAAACAAACAAACAAAAAACAAAGCCAGCCTGGTCTACAGAGTGAGTTCCAGGACAGCCAGGGCTACACAAAGAAACACTGTCTTGAAAAACCAAAAAAAAAAAAAGTTGGGAGTATGGTTCATGGGTGGCGCATATACAATTATACAATTTAATATTTTTTTAACTAGCCACTTAAGTTATTTTTGAAGGATCAGTTGTGAGCTATAATTCATAAATAGGTGCATAAAATGGCATAAAATGTCGTAGGGAGTTGTACAGCAAGTCAGCATGTCTGTACCGGCCAGCTTAAATGTTAAGAGCAGAAACTAGCCAGCACTGGTAGAAGTGCCCCTCAAGTTCTCTTGGAACCAGTGGTCTCAGAAGTCGGCAGTAATTTCATGGCAGTTCCCTTTTCCTACAGTTTTAACTATTTGAACCTTAAGCTGTAAGTACTGTAGTTTCACTTGTGGTTTCAGGTTCATGTTATTTGTTTTGTTTTTTTTCTCAGAATTATGTTTCTAAGGCTTTCTGTGTGAATAAAAATCTTGTTTTAATTGCAACTTCCACAATGTATGGATGTGCTTAATTTGAGTATCCTCTGTGATTATAGATATTTTACTTTTAGTTTTCAGCTACTAATTATGAATAATGCTTTCTCTTAGTAAATATGCTTCTCATAGAGTAAGGTACAGTTACTAGGTCATAGGTTATGTGTGTCCAGCGGGAGTTGTTTTTTCACGTTTTATTTTGTACATTTGTATGTGTGTGGGTGTCTATGAAATTCACAGGACAGCTAATGCTCTTTCTGCCATGTGGTTTCAGGCTGTCTGTCTTGATTGACAGTTGATGCCTTTACCTGCCAACCCATCTTGTGTCTTTGGTTTTAGTAACAGTGCCAATAGTTTTCTAAAGTTGTGGTTGCAGTCTACAATCCCATCATCAGGAATTCCTTGATTTACATTAAGTGAGTACATTTGTTTATTTTCATTCTCATGAATGCTTTGTCTTTCTTGTTACATTTCTGTGTTTTTCTATTGTTTAGTAGGAACTCCTTATAGATTTTTAGATACAAACTCTTTATTGGGCCCCTGATCCGTCGATTTCATTATCTAAACCTTTAGTGGTTATATGTATTAGAACTATCTACTCCTACTTGATGGTTGTTCTTTTGACTTATGTAATAGTGTCTTCAAAAAAACAGAAATTCTCTATTCATGAAGTTTAGTCTGCCAGTTTTGGTTACATTTAGTAAGTTTTGTGTCTTGCTGAAGAACTGGATTATGAATTTGGGAAGATAGCTCAGTTAGTAAAGTACGCCGTAGCAAGCAATAGAGCCTATTTTAGGTTCCCAGCACCCACATAAGAACTGGGCATGGCACCATGAACTTGTAATCCTAGCGCTAGAGGGTAGAGAAGAAGGATCCCTGGGGCTCATTGGCCAGCCAGCCTAGTCTAATCAGTGAGCGTCCCAGTAAGAGACTTTGTCTCATAAAACAAGGTGAATGACTTACTAGAGATAACACCCAAGGTTAACTCTTGGCCTCAGCATGCATGTGTGAGCTTGCACATGTATGTGCCTTGGTTGTCATAAAGTCCCTTGCCTTCCATGTGCACTTTTAAAGTTTGTGTACACTCTTAGGATTTTATTGTGATTACATTGGATTTGGAGATCAGTTTGGAGAGAATTAAAAATTGTGGTAGGAAACTAAATATGTTGTGCAGAACAGTAATAGTATCCTGACAAATGCAGTGTGGCAGAGTGCTCTGCTACTGCTAAGGGATCACAGGAGTCTCACATCTTCTTCCTTAGCTCTCCTTGAGTCCTACAGTGAATCATTCTCAGGGCAGTCAGTTACCATGATATGGTAAATCCTGTGCATAGAGAGGCCATCTGTAGACCTCCTGTCAGCAATCCCAGCTGAGCTAACAGCTCGCAGCCAGCATCAGCCATGTGAATGAACTTCTTGGACTAACACACATCTGCACCTTCCTATGAATGTGACTTGAATTTACAATTGACTGCAAGCACAGAGAAGACCTGAGTGAGAACCAGTGACTGACTCCATCAA